TCGTTGATTGCGGCGTTGAATTTCCTTCTTACCTGCCTCACGGGCGGGTAAAGTGGGTCGACGTTCAGCTTGTGAGTGGTGATGTCTCTCGGGATCCCCGGCATATCTGAATGAGAGAAGGCAAATAAATCTGCATGGTTAGTTAAGAATTCGTGGTACTTACCTGGGTCGGAGAGATTGTGTCCGATGTAGGCTTTCTTCGAGCTGTCGGTACCGTCCAGTTGGACAGGGTCGAGATTCTCGACTGTCGCCTTGCAGGCTTCTACGACATCCGGGTCCCTGATAGCCTCTGTCGTCGGGTTGATTTTGGTTCCCGACATGGCTGATTGCTATGCTCCCGCATTTGCTCCTTTCAGCTATTTTTTATGTGCGCATACTTGGGCAATTCGGTAACACTCCTGGGCGGTACGTGGCTCATCTCGAATGCTGAATATTCCCTATGGGGTGGGAAGTTTGATTACTTGATGGAGGCTCGAAGGGATGGCCCGCATGGCGTGTACCCAGGGAAGTCCCATGATAACGTTGTAGGCCATTTCCTAGTTCATGATGTGGAATGTGGTTTCCAGCGTGACTCCCCCCGCCAGGACGGGCAATGATATCTCTCCGGAGGTTCTCTCTACTGCATTGTTAAAACCCGTTAGTGTTATGCAACGCGGTATTATCTTATCTTCGAGCCTCATTTGCATGAGGACTCTTGGGTGGATAATACACGCGCCGCTTCTGTCGTCTACCATGATTCTTTTCACTTCGGTATCAGCAATGCGTAAAGTTATAACTAAAGCATCATAATGAGGGAAAGACAAACTGTCGGCATCAGACTTATCGAAGGTGATACCATCTTCGAAGTCATCATACCGTTCGTGAGCGATCATGCGCTTCAACTTGTGTGTGGTAGTGAACTTTACATGGTTGATTGCCGAGTCGTCGTCGTCGCCGCCGATGATCATCTGTATGGTGCGCGCTGGAGAAGGTGGTTTTGGTGGTCCTTGGGATTGGTCGCGTCCTCTGGCGAAATTAGTCCTTCCTTTATCGCTGAGTAGCTCCTTCAGGTATCCCTGGTTCAGCATTCTGACCACCTCCTGCCGTAGACCTATGCAATCTTCGGTTTTGTGTCCTCTTTCCTGATAGAATTCGCATAGGATGTTCGACCTTCTTGCACTAGGGTCTGACTTCATTTTTTGTGGCCACTGCACCTTCGTGCCCAGCTTTTCCAGTGCGTACACTATTTCTGAAGGGGAGACACAAAAGTTATGAGCGGATAATAATGGAAGCATACCTCTTTCATTTCGAAGCAGGGCGGCATGTCGCTGCACGGCATCTGGATATCTTGGAGGAGGCGGGTTGGGAGTTCTGACGTAAGGCTGGTGCTTTTCTCTGTTGAAGCGTGGGAGTGGTTCCCGTCGTCCGTCGTTGCGTCGGTCTCTCCTTACATCTGATTGCACGGACGTTAGTCGCTGGGTTGGGCCGTTAAGGTTGTCTTCATCCGCTCTGACTTCGGCGCAATAGGCATTGTGGATCTCTTCCCACGTGGTGGGGGGATATTTTATGAGCCGATTGAGCAGTTTTTTGGTTGCTTTGGATCCGTCTCTGCTTAGCCCGTTTTGGAAAGCTGCCACCGCCATTCCTTCCGATACGTTCGGCAGTCCCATTCTTACCCTATTGAATCGTGCCAGGAAGTCCCTGAGTCCTTCACTCGTTGTTTGCCTGATGGCAAAGATGTCGTTGACCCTAGCTTCGGCTTTCTTTGCTCCTGCGTGGGCGGTGGCGAACTTGTCCGCCATCTCTTCGAACGTTGATATCGACCCGGCCGGCAACTGAGACTACCATGTGAGTGCTCCTCCCGTCAAAGTCTCCCCAAACCTTTTCAGCAACACAAATGGAACCTGTTCTTTCAATAGGTCGTTGCCTTTTACGGCGATCACGTAATGAATCAGGTGATCTTCTGGATCCGTGGTCCCGTCGTATATTTTCAAGTATGGTGGCATCTTGAAGGTTTTGGGGATTGGGTGAGGAGCAGCTTCCTCATTATATAGTTGCTCGACGAATCTCCCCATGTCGCATTTCGGCAGTAGCTTAGGGGCGCCAGGTATCTTGTCTACCCTCTCCTGGTGTTCCTTCATTTGATCACGAAGTGCTTTATTCTCGTTCTCCATCTCCTCCATTTTCTTAAGGATGGCTGTGAGCGCATCGTTGCTCGTATTGGAGTCAGTGTGGGCGTTACCTGTTCGTGCAACGCTGGGCTCTCCGATGGTGGTGGTGATTTTTGCAATCGATGGATCTGTGATATTTCCCTGAGGTGGTTTCTCGAGCATGCTACTTAGAGTGTTCGTCAACCATTCCTCCAGTAGCTTTTTGACTACTGGGGGTGTTTCCTTTGTTGCAGGGGTAGAAGTCCCTCTTTCATTTCGTTAGATCTTCAAGTGAGGAGGGTGAGATCTCCCCCTCCGGTATGTTGCTTGGTGTTATATTCGCGGTATTTTCTCTGCCTGCTTTGTTGAGTGGGCCTATGAGGTTGGTTGAGACGTCTGCTATCATCTTCAACCTTGACTCTTTGTCTGCCATTTGTTAGTTTCTATGAGATCTGAAGAACAACGATGGTTGTTTCTGATATCCTAGATGTGAACTATGATTTCAACTACCGAATTCCCCACAGATGGCGCCAAATTGTTTGACCCAAAAGTAGGTTAATACTTTTCAAGCAAATCAATCAATGTAGATGAAGGGGTAAATCGTAGTAGAAGATAATAAACCCTAGGATGATCTTGAATATAGAATCAGATAGCAATAGGATAAACAAAGTTGATGAGAGAAAGTGATAAACTTCTGAAAGATAAGAGAGATAATGTTTGAGAGAGAGAGAAGAGAGAGATTGTATTTTCAGTAGTGCCCCTTTTTACAGGGCTTAGATCCTCTTTATATAATAGAGGATCCTTGCTCGAATATTAAAAGGCAAAAATTAAAGTACATGTTATGGAGCGGCCGACGTGATCTTGGAGTTGTCCCTCTTGTTTCTCATAGGTCGCTCTTCTAGCCGGGCTTACGCACACTCGATCGGTCGTGCTGGCTTGAAGAACGTAGTTGGTCAAATTCGACCCCATACATCCATAAGCTTCTAATACCACATAAATGACTTCAGTTTCAATGGCTTTGAGAAATTATACAGATTGCTCAGTCTAGTAATTTATGTTCAACGGGGTTTTTTCCTTTTCAATAATTATATTCAAACTCTAGTAGTTCTAAAAGAGAATTTAATGTTTTCATGTTGTAGTTCTTCTATTTGGGGGAACTGGATTTCTCTGAGGTACCAATTAAGTTAAGCATTTTATTTCTCCTCTAGGCAATTTGAAAATACAAGATGCAAAAAGTACTAAATGATGCAGAGAAACGCCTGTGGAATGTTAGACGTTAAAAAAATCTACTGATAATAATATGCTGGTGTGAATTTTCTGTGTATTCCAATAATTATTTTTACAGGTATAAATACAAGAGAATGAAGGAATAATGAAATCCTATTTATACATTTGTCTATTTTCTACTAGCTAATGTGTAACTACCATTCCCTGCTATACATCAATAAAATTTCCTTTTATCTAATTACAATACACGTATGAAAGATCTATCTAGAGAGTGCCACTGATACTCAAAGGTAAGTTCTATAAAGTGGTGGTTAGACCGGCTATGATGTATGGGGCTGAGTGTTGGCCTGTTAAGAACTCACATATCCAGAAGATGAAAGTAGCAGAAATGAGGATGTTGAGGTGGCTGTGCGGGTACACTAGGATGGATAAGATTAGGAATGATGATATTTGGGAGAAGGTGCACGTGGCTTCCATTGATGACAAGATGCAGTAAGCGAGGCTAAGATGGTTTGGGCATGTTCAGAGGAGAAGCCCAGATGCTCCGGTAAGGAGGTGTGAGCGGCTGGTTGTGGAGGGCATGAGAAGAGGTAGAGGGCGGCCTAAGAAGTATTGGGGAGAGGGGATCAGGCAGGATATGGCGAGGCTTCAGATTTTCGAGGACATGACACTTGATAGGAAGATGTGGAGGTCGAGTATTAGGGTTGTAGGTTAGGAGGTAGTTGAGTCTTGCCTTACTTCGTGCCATTGTGAGACTAGTCTAGAAGGGTTTTTGTCTAAGATAGCTAGTGGCAATTGTGTCTTAATATTTCGCCTTTCAGTGCAGGACCTATTTACTAGCTACCGCTTTTGCTTTACATCTTTCTTCTGGATTTCATGTTGTTCCTATTTTTCCTATGATTTATGTGGTAACACTAATATTGTCTCCTTTTGTCTTTTTGTTTTCTTGAGCCGAGGGTCTTTTGAAAACAGCCTCTCTACTCCTTCGGGATAGGGATAAGGTATGCGTACACACTACCCTCCCCAAACCCCATTAGTGGGATTTTACTGGGTTGTTATTGTTGTATGAAAGATCTATCTAGAAGATGCAAAATAAAATGCTTGACAGCTGTGTAATCTCTTCTAATATCAATGGCTAGGATTGAATCAATCAATTAATAGATGAACGGTCATGATGCTTGATTATATATCTTGAATCTTTCAGACACTTCAAAGTCTTCAAAGTCTGACCAAAGTCGATCAACTTCACATTTCATCTCTGCTTCATCTTGTCTTCTTCTTTCAATTTTTGAGTCTTCTATAAATCAAAATCACCTGGTAAACCATCTAAAATTCCTATGCCAACATCCCCCCTCAAGTTGGAGGGTGGAGAAATCACCCCCAACTTGCGCAAAACAGATATGTAAGTAGAGCCGAAAAGGGGTTTCGTGAAAACATAGCGAGTTGAGAATTTGACGGAACGAGCGACAGAGAAATCAAGCCAGCCAGGTATTGTTGCCGCACAAAGTGGGAATCAAGGTCAACATGCTTGGTACGCTCATGGAATACGACATTTTTGGCGATATGAATCGGCGCTTGACTATTGGAGTGAAGCGGCACCAGAAGTGGCGGAGAGATGGATAAATCCTGTAGGAGGCGTACAAGCTAGGTGATTTCAGCCACCACACGGTGCATGGACCGGTATTCAGCTTCAGCCGATGACAAAGGAACCAAAGACTGTTTCTTTGACTTCCATGAAACTGGAGATCCTCCTAGAGTGATGAAATACCCGTTGATGGAGCGTCGAGAGTAAGGGCATCGTCCCCAATCAGAATCACAGAAAGCTGGTAGGTCAAAAGAGGAACTTGAAACAAGAATAAGACCATACTTAGATCTGTGAGCAAATATCCCAAACAACGCAAAGCTACTTCAAAATGGGGAACACAGAGAGCCTGCATATATTGGCTCAAGAGCTGAACAACAAAAGAAAGGTCTGGGAGTGTATGAGTGATATAATTATGCTTCACAACAAGTTTGCAGTAAAGAGTGGGGTTAGGAAATAGTTCACTAGTGTCTGCTAAAGAGACGTGTATGGATCAAGAGGAGAGGCAACAGGCTTGGAATCTAAACAATCAAACTCAGACAACAAATCCAAGGTAAACTTTCTTTGGCTTAAAATTATTCCTTGTGGCTCTCTTATGATTTCCTTTCCAAGAATATGATGCGCCTTGCCCAAGTCCTTAATTTTGAATTCAGAATCAAGGAAAAACTTGATCGAATTTACCTCAGAAGGAACATTCCATGTTAATAGTATGTCGTCAACGTAGACGGCAATAATAGAGATATGACCTTCTGAGGATTTCAAGAAAAGAGAGTAGTCATTAAGCGAGTGAGAGTAGCCTTTAAAGTAGAGGATTGTTGTGAGCCGGGCATACCATTGCCTAGAGGCTTGCCGCAACCCATATAGGGATTTTCTTACTTTGCAAACATGGTTAGGAGATGGAGAAGACATGCCGGGAGAGAACTTCATGTATACTTCCTCTTGTAAATCACCATGCAAAAATGCATTGTTGACATCTAACTGTGAGATGTCCCAACCCTTCTTCACTGCCACTATTAGCAAGCATCGAATGGTAGTCATCTTCACTATTGGAGAATAAGTCCCAGTAAAGTCAATACCTCTCTTTGTATGTCACCCCTGATAACGAAACGAGCATTAAACCTCTCCAATGTCCCATCTTGCTTGTATTTCACCTTGTAAATCCATTTGCAAGGTAGGGCCTCTCTGTCTTTAGGTAATTGGACTACTTCCCAATTGTTATTAGATTCCAGGGCTTGAAGTACCTTGACATGGCCTCTTGCCAACCCGGATGCAAGGAAGCTTGAGAATAGGTAGTAGGCTCAGAAATATGGGATACTAAATTTAGGAGAGACTTATTTGAATGAGTTAAAGTTGAGAAGGGTTAAAAATTTGGAGAAACTGAAGAAGAAAAACAACTAGAGGAGACATTAATTAAGTGAACAAGGTTACACACATAATCATTAAGATAACTTGGTACATGATTATCTCTAAGAGATCTTATAAGAGTTGGCTGAGCAGGAGTAGGAGAATGAGGAGAAATAGAAGGGGAAGGGTGAGGTAACAGAGAATCTGGTGAAGTGGAGTAATTAGGAAAGGTTATAGGAGAGGAAGTGACTGAAGGTGGACTTGAAAAAGAATTTGAGGGAATATGAGTGATAGGTGAATACTGTGGGGAAGAGGGAGATGAAATTGAACTGGACTTGGGAGGAACAAAAATAGAAATAGAAGAAGAAGAGAGATCCTGACTAGGTAGGGGAGAGGTAATAGGAAAAATGGAAGAGTGTTCTTGGTGCAGAAAAGGAAAAATGGTTTCATGAAAAATGACATCTCTAGAAATAAAGATGTTCTTGGTTTTTAAATTAAGCAACTTGTACCTTTTCTTCCTAAAAGGGTACCCCAGAAAAATACATTTGACTGACCTTGGATCTAATTTGGTTCTATGAACTGCCAGAGTAGATGCATAACAAAGGCATCCAAATGGTTTCAAAATTTGATAGGAAGGTTCCTGTCCAAATAAAACCTCACAAGGTGTTCTATTTTTCAAAACTTTGGTGGGAAATCTATTGATTAGGTAGGTGGATGTTAACAGGCATTCTCCCCAATAGATAGTAGGTAAATTGGATTGAAAGAGTAGTGCTCTACAAGTTTCTAGCAAATGTCTGTATTTTCTCTCAACAAAACCATTTAGTTGGGGTGAATGAACACAACTGGTCTGATGTTCTATCCTTTTTTATACAAAAAATTCAGGATATTGAGGAGTGGATCCAAGTTCTAAAGCATTACCAGTCCTGATTGCTTTTACTTTAGTATGAAATTGTCTATCAGTCATTGCCAAGAAATGTTTGAGTACAGGGAAAGCATTAGACTTAGTGCTTAGAAGAAAAGTCCAAGTCCCTCTACTAAAGTCATCAACAATAGTGAGGAAGTATATAAAACCATCATCGGTAGGAGTTTTATAAGTGTCATGACCCAAAACCAACCGTCGTGATAACGCCTATTGTGGAACTAGGCAAGCCACTATTCAACCATCTCAGCAAAGTAAAAGTTTTGAAAATAAAGACGGAAGCAATTAATATTTAAGAAAAAACTTTTTGAAATAGAAATAAATCCACAACACAATAAAGTCTATCCCAAAATCGGGGTTTCACCAAGTACATGAGCATCTATTCCAGAATACAGTCTACTACAATGACTAGGGAATAAGAACCGAAATACAGACAAATATAATAAAGGAGAGTCAAGGCCTGCAAACACCATGCAACTACCTCGATAGTCTCCGAGATTTGACTCCTCAATCAGCAGCTGCCATGATCGGAAGCACCTGGATCTGCACACAAGGTGCAGGTTGTAGCGTATGTACAACCAACTCAATAAGTAACAATCCAACCTTTTGACTGAAAGGTAGTGACGAACTCAACCGACACAGTTCAAAATAGAAATAACAGTGCAGAAACGTAAGCATGCTTTCAAGTTCAATAGAGAGCTCAAAACAGTAAAATAGATCAATTCTGAATGATATAAAGAATACTTTACTACTTCTACATGCCAAATGCACATGTTGTATGTGATGCACCATGTTGATAGCCTCATGTGCTCACACTCTCAAATGCTCAATCACTCAGTACTGTATATGGCCCGTACGACCCAGGAAAGATCCATCCCGAAATATATACATCACTGACCATTAGTCACCTAGTACTTAGTAGGGCCAATCCAGCCCGTGGAGAAGATCCATCTCCAGGTATATAACGCTTCGGACAAGATCCAAGTCCAGGGAAGATCCATCCCTCAACAATATCAACCGCGCTCACTGGGGTGTAATCAGACTCCGGAGGGGTTCTTTCATCCCAAGCGCTATCATAAATCAGTATAACCGCTATGGCGTGCAGCCTGATCCCATAAATGTCGCTCATAATTAGGCTCTCGGCCTCACTCAATCATCAATCTCTCCAGTCTCACTCACGGGCTCACAAATGTCATGAAACTAGCCCGAACATGATGACATGATGTATCAATAAATAACAACAGAGACTAAGATATGATATGAAATGAATGAACATGACTGAGTATGAAATATCAATGAGATCAGTAAGTCAACAGCAATAAACGACCACTATGGGTCCCAACAGTACCAACATATAGCCTAAACATGATCGCTAGCATGATTGACAGTTTAGTTATCTTATCACATGGTGAAAACACGGATATCAACAAGATAGGACCACTTTACAGTGCCATGTGATCGACCAGGTCCCAATTCACATGGTGCACGCCCGCACGCCCGTCACTTGTCATGTGCGTCACCCTAATACCAATCACATAACACATAATTCGGGGTTTTGAACCCTCAGAACCAAGTTTGAAAGTGTTACTTACCTCAATCCGGGCAAAACTCTACTCCAACATGCCTTTGCCTCTCAAATCGGTCTCCAAACGTCTCGAATCTAGCCACAAGCAGTACAATACAATCAATATGGGCTAAAGGAATCAATTCCAGAAGAAAGATACGAATTTATATGCCAAAATCCGAATTTGGCCAAAAGCCTGTCCCAGGGCCCACGTCTTGAAATCCGACAAAAGTCACAAAACCCGAAAGCCCATTCCCTCACAAGTCCAACCGTACAATTTTTATCAAAATCCAACACCAAATCGTCACCTAAAACCCCTGAATCCACTCTCCAAGTCCCTAGCCTCAAACTCCTAAATTTTTACCTCAAAACCACACAATCTAGGTGGGCAAAAAAATGGGGAAACAAGATTATTGATCAAAAACGGGTACAAGAAGCCTACCTCAAGAATCCTGTCAGGACCCAATTCCATTATAGGCCGTGATGGTGCCCAACATAGTTGTTAGGCAAGCCAACACCGATCACCTAGTGGTATTCTATTTAAATAAATTATTAAGTAATAAAATTTTCCTTATTTGTTAAAAAGAATTAGAAAATTGCAAGCTAAACATAAATAAACCGAAGCAATAAGTACTAATCAGAATCATGTAAGCAAACCCAAAATCATAGTCTACTAGTGAGTGTGCCAAGATCTGGTGTCACAAGTGTGTGGGCAATCTAGTAGAATATATCAAAAGAATGCTGCTAGCCTACTGTCTAAGAGAAAATAGACAGAAAAGTAAAACATAAGGAAGACTCCAACTGCTGCAGATCGGCTCGAAAGGCAGCTCACCGTGAAGTCTCGAAGTGGGGATCAACTACGCGCGCCGGACGGGTAACTAGATGCACCTGCCTCAGATCTTGTACAATTAAGTACAGAAGCGTAGTATGAGTACATAAACAATATGTACCCAGTAAGTATCCAGTCTAACCTCGAAGAAGTAGTAACGAGGGGTCGACTTGACACTTTCTAGGGCTAACAATAATATAATTAAAGTGTTATGCTAAGCACGGATATCATGAATAATACTAATATTCAATAACAGGAAGTGATAAGTTCTTCTTTCACAATCATAATTTCAATTTCAGTCATATCGTTTAACAATTTATATTTCAAGGCATTTAAGTAGTATAAATCATGGAGAGTTCAAACTAATTAACATGCACAATTATGCCGAGGTCGTATGGCCCGGCCCAACATAATATTAAATTGTGCACTACAGGAGGGTCAAACGGCGCGAACCACAGATGCATCTATTTACTACCGAGGCGCTCAGCCCGATCAACAAATAACAGTTATTTTAAAGAAAACACAAGTTTCTCATTTACAGTCAAGTATCTCATACAAACCTTCAAGTAAGTGAATTTATCCTGATACAATTCATTTTTATAAATTTCTAACATGACTTAGGTGATTATATTAGCAAGTAAGGACGGAAACATTCCAATTATAGCATGATACGGATCCTAATTTGACGCCAGACGACTCGAAACTAGTCAAACATTACATAAACTAATCAATCTATGCTCAAAAGTTCATATTTCAACTATTAAAGTGATCAGCCAACCCAAATTGCAAGATTCCTAAAATTCACCCCCCGGGCCCACATGCTCGGATTCAAGAAATTTTCGAAGAATGTTGTTACCCATAACCTTAGGAAACATAAATATATGATTTTCACTATGTTTCATAATAAATTTTGTGTTCAAATCTTGGTTTATCAAAACCCTAGGTTTTCCTCTAAACCCTTGTTTTTCACTAATTTTTACATGTTAATCTACCCATAATCTAGGTATTAAACTCACATTTGGTAGGAATTACTTACCTCCAAAAGCTAGTTCGAAATCCCCTATTTGAGAGCTCTCTATTCACCCAAGTGTGTAAGAAAATGAGTCAAAAATGCCTAACTCCCGTATTAAATGAAGTGCACTACCCCAGCGATTTTTGCACCTACGGTGCGTTGGCCGCATCTGCGGACGAGGGTCCACTTCTGCGAATTGGCTGGGCTGGCTGGGGTCTCTTCTGCAGACGGGCTCCCTCTCCTGCAGTCCTGCTTCTACGGAAAGGGCGCCGCATCTGTGGAAACTGGGTTGCCCTCCTTGGGCCGCATCTACGAGCTCGTACCTGCGGCTGACCAACCGCAAGTGCAGTAATGACAGCAGCTGGAGCTT